AAGGGGGGGGTCCAGGGCCTGTGTTCACTGCGAGTCCTTGCAGGCGCCCCGGGTGCGCTGCCAGGCGGAGGCTGAATCATTGGGAGGGGTGGGGTGGCGTGGGGTTCGTGGCCTGCGGGGGGGGCAGGGGCTGTTGTGGGGTGAGAACCTGGACTGAGGCGTCTCCTTCTTCCCCCTCCTCTCCCCCTGCCTACCTCGCAGGTCCACGGTCCTGCAGCAGCAGTTCAACCAGGTGAACAAAGCGGAGCACGGATCAGTGGCCCTCCCGGCCATTATCCGCCCGGGGGCCGGGGGCCCAGAGAACTTCCAGATGGGCACGATGCCGCAGGCCCAGCAGCAGATCACCAGCGGCCAGATGCACCGTGGGCACATGCCCCCCCTGGTAAGGAGAAGCCCACGCGGGAGCTGGGGGAGGAGAGGGAGGGTGCATGCAGGCGTCTCCCCTCTTTTCCGCTCTCCTCGGGGGTTGTCAGCACCCAGGACTGATGGCCAGTCGCGCTGGCAATGGGGGCTGCCCCCACCCATGTCCAAGGCATCCCTCCTCTTCTGCTGGGCCTCTCCTGGTCCCACGGGGGCTTCTGCCGACACACGTGGCCAGGCTGCCTCTCTTCGCCGTCCCCTGCCTCCACCGCCTACTCACGGCCAGGGACAAGGGATGCTCCCCCTTTCTCCCCTGCCTTCCCGGTTTCGCGTGGGCTGCCCGCTGGACCCGGGCTCAGCCGGTGCCCCCTTGTTTCACAGACCTCAGCCCAGCAGGCCCTGACGGGGACCATCAACTCCAGCATGCAGGCGGTCCACGCGGCCCAGTCTAACCTGGACGACTTTGAGACGCTCCCTCCGCTGGGACAGGACGCCGTGAGTCTCGCGTGGGAATGGCTGGTGGGGTGTGTGTGAGGGGCCCGTGTGATGCCCTTGGGGGTCTCTTGGGAGTCCTGGGCCAATGGACACATGCACACAGACGCCCCCTTCTGCTCCCCCTCCTCTCAGGCCTCCAAGGCCTGGCGCAAGAACAAGATGGACGAGTCCAAGCACGAGATCCACTCCCAAGTGGATGCCATCACGGCCGGCACGGCCTCCGTGGTGAACCTGACCGCCGGGGACCCTGCGGAGACGGACTACACGGCCGTGGGCTGCGCCGTCACCACCATCTCCTCCAACCTGACGGAGATGTCCAAAGGGGTGAAGCTGCTGGCGGCCCTCATGGAGGACGAGGGCGGCAACGGGCGGCAGCTGCTCCAAGCCGCCAAGAACTTGGCCGGGGCCGTTTCGGAGCTCCTGAAGACGGCCCAGCCCTCCAGTGCGGAGGTGAGCAGGGCTGGCTC